AAAAAAAAAAAAAAAAAAATCTCATTTTCAATGGAATAATTCATTACATAATAAAGCTTCTGTGGGCCCCACCGTACGTACGCTGGCGCTCTCCCATTTGTCCCTCCCCAAAAGTTAGGGGAAGGGTGGCAAACACCTGATCCATCACCCATGACGTGGCACCCCCAAATTGAACTCCCAAAAGTTCATAATTGTTGACCGGTTGTTGACCAAGTTAATTTATATAAATAACTGCTTAATTATGTTTTTTTTTGTACTTTATAGATAGATTAATTATCGGACGATAATAATGATAATTGTAATTGATATATATGGCATCAAAAAATAGTTAACCTCGAGAGTATTAAAGTTATTAATCTCTAAATAAGGAATACATTTTGATTACGAGCTATGATTTTGCGACTGATTTAAGTATCAAAGTGTTCACGCCGGGAGCCTCGATCCAGACTAATAGTCCAAAACATTCGAGACGAGACTGTTCGACAGAAATTAAATTTTAATGAGCCGATATTTCGTGCACATCAATAGTAATAAATTTATTATTTAAAAAAACAAAAAAAAAAAAGAAGCAAAGGGAAATGCCTATCACGTTCCCTGAGTCCATTTTATAAATCAAGATTCATATCTTTACGTGTCACTGATAATTTATGTCTGTTTTAAAAGTTTTAAAAGCTGCTGCCTTTGTTATTCTATCTCTTCTTTAAAGTAAATTTAAATCTTATCAGCTATCAATTAAGTGCGTTGGCTTACTTTAACGTGTCCCAACTTGGTCTTCTTCAAACATATATACATATTCAAGCTTCACAAGTTGTGGTTTTACATTCCCAATTCTTAAGCAACATTAAAAAACAATGATGACTACACCAACAGCTGAGTTTGCCCCGTCGAGTCGAGTCGGTTCGTACGAGCCTCTGCACGAGTCGCTGCACCAGCTCAGCATGTGGGAGGATGCCTTTGATGGCAGCATAAGCCCGGGTGCAGGCGGGTGCATGATCATCGAATCCGAACCTAAGCTAGACGATAAGGTGAGATTGACTCATCATACATATATATAACACAATATGTCCGGTTTTCAATTTTTTTTTTTTTAAAAAAAATTTTCGTGTTCGAGTCCAGATCGAGTACTTGTCCGACAAATCAGCTGACCATGTCGAAGATAATCATGCGTCGAGGAGTATTTCAGAGAAGGTGATAAAACCATATGCTAATGATTCGAGTTTTCTTTTTAAAAAAAATAGTTTTGAGAAGTTAGGAAGTAACATCTGGTTCGAAACAAACTATTTACAGATACAAAGACGGTTAGCGCAAAACCGTGAAGCTGCTAGGAAAAGTCGGTTGCGAAAGAAGGTGTTAAGCTTTTTTCGTGTGATTACTTATTATCAATTTGTAGTAGATCGGTTTTTTCGTATTACAGTGTCGGCGTTTTCGTGACAGGCGTATGTCCAGCAGCTAGAGACGAGCCGTATGAAGCTGGCACAACTCGAGACAGAGCTTGAGAGAGCTAGACAACAGGCAAAAAAACATTTATTTTCTTTGCATTTTTTCGTATTCTTCTTACAAGCGCGTTTTGTGTGAATTCATGGTGTGTAAACAAATTATCGAACATTGTGAAAGTTCCGAATGTATGACACAGCAGGGCATGCTTATGGCAAGCGCGGCTGCTAACATAGGATTGTGCGCAACCATAAACCCAGGTATTCCAGCTTAATACGAGCAGCACGCATTTATGATTGTTCGTTTCGACAATATAAGTTTTCATAATCATCTCCTGTAAGTCACATTTTCATTTTCGATACAAATTATCTTACTACGGTCCCGTTTGGAGATTGAGCTTTGTACTAAAATATCGGGTTACCGGTTACTGGTGCAGGAATTGCTGCATTCGAGATAGCATACGTGCAGTGGATAGAAGAAGAAGACCGGAAAATATTGAATCTCCGAAATGCCCTCCAGTCCCCTATGAGTGATGCTGAGCTACGCATGACAGTCAATAACGTGTTGGACCACTACCGCAATTTGTTCCACATGAAAAAAGATGCCGCGAGAGCCGATGCTTTCTACTTAGTGTCCGGCATGTGGAGGACCTCGGTCGAGCGCTT